TTATAGGCTACCCTCTCCTGCATAGCAGGACTCCTTAGGAGACAATTACGATAAATAAGTCTCCTTAGAATGAATATGATTCAGACAAGAAGATGGAGGCCAATCTCCTGGGATCTGTGATAGGATGAAGTCACCTTCAGCTTAAAGATGGGATCGGTCCTCATGACCGCTTTGTTCTTATGCACACGCTTAGCTCAGGAGAGGCCAACAAGGCACCTACTTCAGACACCCTCCTTGTTGATATGAATTGGTATAAGAAATAAGACTATTATTCTTAGCCACCTAAGAAGAATCTCTTTAACAGGCTCGAAGGAGTGCCTAGCAAGGACAGACAGCATGGTGTGTAATTTCTCTGACGGAAATCTATGTAGTTATGGTGGATCTTTGAGGTCAGAGCCCTTGAGAAATCAATGAACGTGTGGGTGCTTGGAGAGACTGAGACCTTGGAAATGTGGGAGGACCAAAGGAAAGGCTAAGAAAGCTGCAAGTGAATTTGTTGATTAAGAATGGAATGGATGTCTAAAAGCTATGTGGAGCAACACATCAGGTGGATGGCACAGTGAATCAGACATCACAAGGCATATGACAAGCAACTAGGGATACTGTTCAGATCTTGATCTCAGCAAAAAAAAAAGAGGATGTTCCTTGTAGATGTGAAGTTCATTACTGCAGGAGGAATCAGACATAGATTCTTAATGTGCTATGGCCCATCTAAATGGAACATGTAACTCCTTGTGAGAAAGCCCTGCATGTTCCAGGACTGGAATGTCTCACCACTAATGGTCTTATAGTGAAATTTCAAGAAACACTCATTGTGTTAAATTTTAAGACGCTCTGTAAATTGGCCTGCCCAGGTGATTTTATAGAAGCTTTTCTCGTTCCACTTGATCCGCTATTCCCTGTGGCCATTCATTTTCTCTAATATGGTCTAATGCGTATCTTGTTTTCTTATAGTGAAATGTCAAGAAATTTCAAGAAAGATTAAGATCTGTACAGGCTTGACCTATATGAGGAGGCTAGAACAGCTACACAAGTTTGTCATGGCAACTGCATCCACCGGTGACACTGACACCTAGCATGCAGACACTCATCACCCATAAGAGCTTAAAAACCAAGGCTTAACTAAGGACAAGAAGATAATGTCATGTCAAACATAGATGAAGTATACATGCTGCATAAGGGCGAGGCTGTATGTCTCACTTACTAAAGGCAGTGAAAGTAAACCTACATGACTCATACTGATAGTATATAGTGACGCTTGTGGACTCATGATGACTGTTACTCCAGGAGGAAACAATATCAGAAGACTTTCATCAGTGACTATTCCAAGTTTACTGTTACGTACTGTCGGGCAGTCCCGCCATGAGGTTATTTTCCTTTCCGCTGGAATGTGCTTTGCTCTGCACCTGCTTTTCGGTTTTGCTCCTTATCTGCCTGCTGGCCTTGAGCGCTCATCGCTTGGGCGCGTATGCCTCCGATTCTCTTGCTCACCCCTGAACCGTTAAACAGCTCCCCGTATTTTATATTCATTGCTTATTGGCCTCTAGGTGTCGGGGGGTCTTGTATGAACCCACTGTATTTACTATTGCCATTTTGTATGCATCATTCCTGACTCAAAGAGTCCAAGTTGACTTCATCTTACTCTGATCAATAAAGCTGAATCTAGTTAAGAACCGGCTGTTGAAGTACCTGACACGTACCTCCTGAAACAAAAGAGTGAAATGTTTGGGAAACTCCAAGAGTTTTGTATGCGCCATTTTGTATGCATCATTCCTGACTCAAAGAGTCCAAGTCGACTTCATCTTACTCTGATCAATAAAGCTGAATCTAGTTAAGAACCGGCTGTTGAAGTACCTGACACGTACCTCCTGAAACAAAAGAGTGAAATGCTTGGAAACTCCAAGAGTTTGTGGCTGCTGCCAATGATAAGTTCCAAAGGGAAGCCACAACCATTCTGCACAGGCAAGGGGGGGGGGAGTATATAAGTAAGGAAGTGGAACACTACCTAAGGGAACAGGATATATAGCACCAGACAACCGTGTTATATGCACCTGAATGAATAGAACAACAAAAAGGAAGAACTGCACCTAGTTGAAATAGCCAGATGCATGCTTCTGGATGCTGGGATGCTAAATAAATATCAGTGCAAAGCAATATGACAGCACCCTCTCTACACAAAGGATTATGGTCAAAGTAACAGACAGAACTCCATAGGAATTATGGTATGGATTCATGAAGCACATCACGGTGTTCGGCTGGCAAGCCTATGCCTTCATTCCCAGTAAAAAACAACACTCAAGGCTGGACAATAGAGCCACAAAAAAGAAACTGGTAGGTTACAGTGAAATTAAAAGACGCCTGCTCCTTGGGAGGAAAGCGATGGCAAACCTAAACAGCATGATAAAAAGCAGAGACATCACCCTGCCAACAAAAGTCCGCATGGTCAAAGCAATGGTATTCCCAGTAGTCATGTATGGCTGCGAACGTTGGACTATAAGGAAGGCCGAGCGCCGAAGAATAGATTCTTTTGAACTATGGTGCTGGAGAAGACTCTTGAGAGTCCCTTGGACTGCAAGGAGATCAAATCAGTCAATCCTAAAAAAAATCAACCTTGACTGTTCCCTGGAAGGCCAGATACTGAAGTTCAGATACTTTGGCCACCAAATGAGAAGGGAGCACTCACTGGAGGACCCTGATGCTGGGAAAGATTGAAGGTTAAAGAAGAAGGGGATGGCAAAGAATGAGATGGTTAGACAGTGTCATAGATGCAACGAACATAAAATTGAGCAAGCTTCAAAGGACAGCGGAAGACAGGCGGGCCTGGCGTGATTGGGTCCATGGGGTTGCAAAGAGTCGGACTCGACTGTGCGACTGAACAACAAGGTTACAGTGATCACTCTGAAGGGTACAGCATTCGATCCTGAAGACAGACAAGGTTGTAACAAGTGGTGCAGTATACTTGGATTATTTCTCTCAACTGTGTAGAGGATCCCCAATTTGTTCTCCTGTTGTCCTTACTGAAACTTGGTAATAGGCACTGGGGGCAAAGGCCTCTTTTTGGTACTTTTGTCGAGGGCATCCCCAACTAGTTTGTCTCCTTGACATGGGTAAGCCACAACTGTAGACTTGGCACGGATGTCAGCATGCCAGGCTCAGAGCCACAAGTTCTACTGGCAGTTGTCCCAGATGCCATAGCCAGCCGATTTCCAGGCATGCCGGCTCCTTGTGAATCCTGCTCAGCAGCAACTGCTGTGACCGGAGATCCTGTCTCTACTTCAGAGAAAAATCCACCGGGGAGGGCTCATTAGAAGCCATTTGGTAGATTGTAAATGTAATTGTTTTATAGCCTTCCAAAATTGCTGCCTCCAAGGGGCACTTTCCCCAACAGTCAAACTCCTTCTCTCAGATCTCCTCATGGAGGCAAGAGAGCAGAGAAAAATAGTAAGGGAGTTAGAGGAAATAAGAAAGAGCAGGCAAGTTAAGTATTTAGGGTTAGGAGAAGCAAAAAGAAGTAAGGAGGAAAAGAACAGGTGAACAGAGCCTATTCTGAACTGCTCTTCCTGTCGAGGCAGGAAAAGAACTGGGGAGATGGGCGACTCCCACCAAGGAGACAGGAAGTGGAAAGACATTGTTCCTGCCTCCCTGAATAGAGGATGGGAATCACCCACCCACCAAAATGTCCTCCACCTAAGAGGGAGAATAAACATTTTTTTAAATTAAAAAAGCCTGAAATAGCCCTCTATTGGTAGGGGGCCCTGACAGCTGCTATCATCTGAGGCAAGGTAAATGGAAGAATTTGGGCAAGATCTTCAAAAATGTACATCTTACCACCAACGCAGTGTGAAAACACCATCAACTATGGTCTTTTCAAAATGATCATATAAAACCAGGTTTGGGAAAGATCACAGAGCAAAGCAGAGGCAAACTGGGGAAATGGATGACATTGAATGGATGCTCCAAAACAACCTCACTCAATTTTGGGTGTCAAAATGGAAGAAAACCTGCATGTGGAAGCAGCCTATTCTGTAAACAGACTGCATGCCTAATATTCTAGCTGCTTCTGTTTGGAGACAACCAGGCAAGCTGCTTCACAGTTGTCATTTCTACTTTTGCTTATGAGCAATGAATTACTTGGCCACTCAAAAGGATTCGTCTCAACTTTGAAATAGTCTTCCTTTTCAAACCAGAAACAATTTTTGTCCATTAGATCTATGAGTTTGCTATAAGATCAATACAGTATTATTCTGCAAATAATAAAATATCCCAAAACCACTACTGTACAGAGAAAATTCAAGACTTCTGGTTGCAGGGACTACACTTCAAGCAACCACATGGAAATTAGTAACCAACTACTTTTCTAGCACCTTGCTGCACATGTTCTCCTTCATGCGCTTATGGTTATTGGAACTGAGTATGCAGCAGACAGAATGTGTTAAACTGCCCTCAGGCCTCTTCTGTTCTTTGACTAAACCATCAGTGCTGTTTTTCTTCCTTCTGTAGCTTCCATAATAAGAATCTGGAACACAGTTTCATTTATTTAAATGTGCTGATGGTTTAGTTATTTTAGCATTTCAATGTATTATCTTGTACACTGTTTCTAAGCACAATTCAAAGTGCTAATGCTTAACTTTAAAGCTTACAACTGACTTGAGAGTGATGTATCCAAAGGACTATATTATCTTGTAGTGTCTAGCTTAAGTCCTATTCTCTGCACAGTGGCAACCAGTGTCAGTGGTGGCACTCCAACCTGAAATGCCCTCTTTCTAAAGGCTCAACTGATGCCTAATTTGTTGAAATCTACGTGTCAGGTTGAAACATGCTTTTTGCCCAATCATTTAATTAACTACCAATATTTATATCCCACCTTTCTGCCTGATCAGGGCCACCAAGGCTAATCAAGACATCCTACCTTTCGGTTGGTCATTTCAATACTCTCTATAGATTTTACAGTCTGCATTCCCACCTCACCTATCACATCCAAGTGTTCAGATCCCACTTACTGCCATGTAGGGTCGGCATCCAGCATCTCTTGTTTTCGCAATGGAGTCTACAAGTTGTCCGCTGATGCCAAAATCACAGAGTTTGATATTTCCGTTTCTGTCCAGAAGAATATTGGAAGGTTTAATATCTGCAAGGGATGTGGACAAAGTGCTTCAGTTTCAAATCTGCCGAAGGTTATATAGCAAGAGACACAAAATCAGAACTGAAGACAATGTATGCAGTAAAACAACTTCCTCATTTAAGAATGCAATTATATACTTTGCAATAGCGACTCTTAATGTGCAAGACATCACTTGTATAATTGAGGGATAGTTCTAAAACAACTCTAAAACTACATCCCTTTAAGAGATTACCCACATTTCTGATAATGCCCAACGGGTTATGTTAATTAGCTTTTGCATTGAGATCGACCACTAATTCCAGTGCCTCTAGAGAAATAAAATCAGATGGAACCAGTCTAGCACATGGAAATAATCATATGGAATATTCAAAATAGCTCAATAATGAAGACATGTTGGATAATATATGGTCCTTTTTATGCTATTGGTTCTTAGAAAAAGCTGGAGAAATAATCTGATACAAAAACTAGCTCATGAAAATAGGCAAACCGCAGACAGTACGACAGGTTCAGGAACCAACTGAAGGGGACATAAATTGGCCATCCCAAACACATTGATTCAATTGTGGGACTACTGAAATATTTGCATCAGTATGGCCAAACTACCTAACATTTATTCTGAACCCAGAATAGACAGACAGAAAAGGTTAGAAGAGTGAGAAGGAGGGATGGGGCAGACTGCCTGTTGGAGTTGGATGATATACTTTCCTTCTCTCTTTGTAAACTCTAGGTGACTGCTACCTAGAGTTACTCTAAAATTTGTATTTTAAAAACACATGGAACGCTCACAACCATCATTACAAAGGATCTTGGAAAGTGACAGAGAAAATCAATGTCAGCAAAATATTGGGGAAATAACCATATTTATCTTTTCATAAAATCTAGCAAACAATACTAAGCATACTTTATAGACAGCAATACCACTGAACTGAGTGGGAATTTTTAGTCAACATGCTTATCGTTGGACAGCTAGGTTTAAATATGAGCCATAATAACATGGTTACATGGACTTTGTTAAATAAAGGGTACTTTGCACAAAACACAGAAGATGTTTCAAAAAGTCATATCATCCGAAGAAGCTCATACTTTGACGGTAGAACAAAAAAGCATACAACTATTTCTGTGGAAAGGACAAACCAGATAGGCCTACCTCTGTGAATAATTTTCAAGTTCTCTTTTAAGTGGTTTAGTGCTTTCACAGTCTAGGAGAGAAGAAAAAGTCTTTATGCAGGGGGAAAAGGCAATTATAATATAATTCCTGTTATTACACAATCTCACAAATATGAACAAAGATATTTCAGACAAATTATGAAACAGAAATGTGAAACAATCCCTTCAAACGTTTAATAGCAACATCCTGCAGTGCAGTGAATACAAACTGCAATAGAAATGGAAAGATGAATCTTCTGATGACAACATTTGGAATAAGTATGGAAAGGGGAGAAACAACAGTACTTAGGCTTACCAAGTGGCGGCGGGGGATCCGCATGTCTTCACAGGATCCCTGCTGCGGGGACGACGACACGCGTTGCACCCGCCGTCGCCAGGATGTGACGCTACGTGTCGCTCTGGCAACAGGACTCCAAACAGCCCCGTTGCCAGAGCGACGCGTTGCGTCACATCCTGCCGATGGCGGTGCAACACATATCGCTGTCCCCGCGGCAGGGATCCTGTGAAGACATGTGGATCCCCCGCTGCCACTTGGTAAGCCTAACAGTACTGGGAGTAAAGCAGTATTCTGCCAGAGAGATAAGCTCAACCTACACCTATCATTTTCTTTTTGCCTGCTGTAACAGAATCATAGGGCTCTAGCCCCTCACTATATGACTGAAATGAAAGCAAAAATGAATATTGTGATACTTTACAGACTAACACGTTTCTCATGCCACAAACATTTGTGTGCTAGAGTTCACTTCATCAGATACATCTGGGCTCTAGCTCACAAAAGCTTTAAATGTAACAGTTACACTATCTCATGACTTTTTTTTTTACTGCTGCAACTTAAAACATTTAACCCCCTGTGAACTGATTGAAGCTAGCTGGGAAAGATTATACCCTAGAAGGCCATAATCACTGTGAAGAAATGCATTTTTTTGGAAGTTGCAAATGAGCAAAACCTTCACATTCAGTTTTAAAAGTTTTTTTTTCCCTCTCTCTCTCTGGGCAGAGGTCTGGAAGAGGCAGCCACTGACCATGTGCTGGCCTGAGGAGCTGAAGGAAACCTCAAGGAAAAGGTCACTCTGTAGAGATCTGTAACTTCCTAAGCTAAGGAGTCTGTCCTACAAGATCTGGGTGTGCTGTGCTAGGTTCATACTTTAGGACTCTCAAGTATTAATAGTCACATTCCTGAGCTTAAGCCACCTAGCCCCACATATCCTGCATCGCTAACTCTTCCCAGCAAACCCATACCCTAATTTTGGCAAGCCTACTACCGCAATCAACCAAGATACAGAATACAAAACAAATGTTGTAAACTCCACCTAATTTAATTCAGGTACACATATTACTCCCATTATGCAGTCACGCCATTGATTACTAGGCTCAATTTAAGGTATTGACTATCACATATAAAGCCTTTCATGGACTTGGTCCCTCATATCTGTGAGACTACCTCTCCCCCTATGCTCTACCAGGACAGCTTTGCTCATTTAAGCAGGGCCTTCTGCGGGTGCCACCCTGCAAACGGGCAAAATCAACAACTGCCTGTACACATGCATTTTCTGTTGTGGCCTCCACCTTCTGAATAGCCTGCCTGAAGAGGTTAGGAAGGTTCCCACTCTTTTTGCAAAACTGAACTATTCAAGAGGGCTTTTTTACACAGGTAACAGGGCTTTACTATAGCAAAATGGTTCAGAAAGATGCTTGGGTAAAGGGTTACGGTCTGTGGACTATGCTACTGTGTATAGTTCATATTATCTGTTGCTGTAAATAGGTTTCTATTATGTAATTTTTACACTGTTGAATGCATCATGGTAATACTTATGCTTTGCTTCAGCTCTGTTCCAGATTTCTACAACTAAATCCTATGGCACTGTTTACTTGATGTCCCATCTTATTCATTATATTTACTTACTCTGCATTATCTGCCTTGAGTCCCAGTGAGAAAGGCAGACTATAAATAATATACATAAATAAAATAAAAAGAAGCACTACTCACTATCTCAATAAGGAAGGGGGAGATACAGCAAGAAAATGCTAAAGATTCGGAAACCAGAATTTTTTCACCCTCGTTTTAAAATAATTTTAACAGAGATTTTCTTAGACTGCAGTATTAGAAAATGCATGGAAAATGTAGACAGGAACTTTTTAAAAACTTTATATAAATTAACAAGAGAGGCTATAGTTCTTGCAAAGTCCCTGTCTGCAATTTACATACATGAAAATGGATGGCATGAATAAATTATGAGATGAACTTCTCATCCCACTCCCCATTTTTTAGCAACCTAGAATTACCCAATTTTAAAAGTTAGTATTTAATTAATGCTCACAATGAAAACATATCAAAAGTAAAAAGCTAAATCAGCTCTAAAATTTGTATTTTAAAAACACATGGAACGCTCACAACCATCATTACAAAGGCTCACAATGAAAACATATCAAAAGTAAAAAGCTAAATCAGCTCTTGTCCAGAACTTAAATTGGGAAAGTAAAGCCAGACAGTGCTTGAACAGGTAAGCAATTATTATTATTATTTTTTTAAAAAAAACTTACAGCTAAAGTGATTTTGCCTAAAATTTCTTCTGGAATAACGTCATCTAATACACTATATACATATTTGTAAAATTTATCAAACGAGGTAGACATGAGCTCCATACAGATCCAACAGTCACCCTAAAAAGAGAGGGGGGGGGAGAGACATTCTTTATTACTATTAAACTGAAATACACACTTGGAGAGCTTAGTGTGAGATCTTTTTCAATTATGATGGAAAGAGAGGTCAGACAAAGCAATGTAATTTTCTACCGGTGCAAATCTTACTAACAGGTACAGAACACATGGCATTTTGCATACAATTGATATATAGGCTTCCTGACAAAACATTCTGTTTGCACTCCCATCAAATGGCAATTGTTCCAATGAAAAGATTATGCAATACTTACGTACCATTTCCTTATACAAAAAATTGTCTTTTTAGAAACAATTTCTATACCAACAACCTGCCAGCTACTGATGTAAAGCTTACTGGTTTGTAATTTCTTGAACCTTTCTTCCTTTTCCCTATAACCCGGTCTTAGGGCCCTGCCTTGTCTTACATGGGTTGCCAAACATATTAATTGGTAATAGACCCAGTTTTCGTTTACTATATTTTCTTGAAACACCTCAGATTCTGCCACTGTTGTTGTTCAATTACAGTCGAGTCCGACCCTTCGTAACCCCATAGATCACATCATAGCAGGCCCTCCTGTCTTCCGTTGTGCTCCGGAGTTTGCTTAATTTCATGTTCATTGCATCTATGACACTGTCTAACCATCTCATTCTTTGCCATCCCCTTCTTCTTTTTCCTTCAATCTTTCCCAGCATCAGGGTCTTCTCCAGTGAGTGCTCCCTTCTCATTTGGTGGCCAAAGTATCTGAACTTCAACTTCAGTATCTGGCCTTCCAGGGAACAGTCAGGTTTGATTTCTTTTAGGATTGACTGATTTGATCTCCTTGCAGTCCAAGGGACTCTCAAGAGTCTTCTCCAGCACCACAATTCAAAATAATCTATTCTTCGGCACTCGCCCTTCCTTATAGTCCATTAAGCTTATGTAATTGAGCAATAAACAGTGGTAGTATTCTTCTATTTGTATATATATCCTACATAGCAGTTTTCATATTAACTGCATTTCTCAGAACTTTAGCAATGGTAGCAGAGCTTCCCTGAAAGAGCTATTGCTCAGTTCTATCGATCCTCTGCAATGTGCAGAAATTCTATGGTACATGCTCAGGGGTTCTTTTGAAAGCAGAAGACAGAATGCTTGAAAACTACTGTTATGTATCATCAGAAGCTTTTGACAGTCAATCAAAACAGGTACTTTTTAAAAAGTGAAGACTTGCTGTAGATAGAACAGCTTAGATCCTACATAGTGTGTGCAGAGCTACAGTAGAAAATGGGCAACATCTCCCCACTCGTCTTCTGTGGTGCACAAAACTGTGCCCCTATGAACAACCTCAACAATAGCATGAGAGTTGGTGGAAGTCTGCAGCGGGAAGGGGGGGAAATCAGCAAAAAAGGGCCCCATCCTTTAGCAAACTGAAGTGCTTTTCATGAGTTGAAAAGAAGTACAGGATCCAAACCAACATTTCTTCATCTCTAAGTCATGGCTACAAGACAGGGAATGCCTCTTGTACTTGCAGGCTCCTCCAGTACTAAGTTAGCTTACCCTGCAAGTTGGCAACTGTCTGCTCTTTAATTAATGTATTTCATTACACCCTAAAATTATTGAAACAAATTATCTAAATCATCTGGTACAAATCAAGCAGTTTATGAATGCCCACCTCTCTAAAGAGTGCACCATAAAACTGAACAATATATGGGCAGTCACTACTTCGCATAACTACATCCAAGTCCATCAAAAGCTGTTTCTGTTCCTTTTCATCCACCGTTGACCGAATTCGCTGAAAGAGTAAAAAGGGGAGAGATAGTATAATCAGCTTAGGAGGTGACAATAAGCTACTGCAAAGCAGAGTTTGAAAACACAATAAACTCATATTTATATCAAGTAGAAATATTTTAACTGGGAGAAATTCCTAGTCCACCAAAGACTTTAGTTCAACAGAAAGGCATGTAACCAGTTGCCAGAACTTAAACACGTTGAGCACATCGTGATTAGCCATCAGGAACAATTAATTTCCCTAACAGTGAGAAAAACACAGGATAAGGTACCATGAGTGATTGCTGTCTTTTTTTAAAAAACGTTTTCACACTGATGGAGTACTTCCTCTGGAATGTATGTATGTGTCCAAGGTCCACTGCTGACAGACCAATGGGATGTTTTGTTACAGTACAGCCTTTAATTCCCATTCCTCATCCTACACTGAAAAGGGGGAAGCAGCATCAAGACACTGATAGAGAGCTGAGTACTCCCATGTCCTAAGAATGACAAAGACTATGCAGAGGTCCTGCACCCACTTGTTTCAATGTTGCTCCCTCTTCCACTGTAGCAATGTAGAATCAGGTGACTACTTAGATAGCTTTTAGTATGTTAAAATAATGGGGGAACCTCAGTGATCAATTCAAGAGAGTAAAAACAAGTTAGATTTCTACATTACAGATTAAACTATATTTAAAAACAAAACAAAAAAAGCAATTCACTGAACAAAAATATTTTAATAACCTATCAAACTACAAACTTTATTTAGATATTAATTTTTCAATAGTGTATATATTAAGGTGTGGATGAAGTTTATAAAGGTGTACAGTATAATACAAATGAAGGTGCTATCTGCCTCTGCAGGGGAGAAAGCCCTGGGCTGTACCACTAGAAAGCATGCAGCCTTGACTACGTCTTGGTTGGTAGTACCCTCTACCGTCAAGGCTGTGAAGTACTCATGTTCTAACCAATGCAACTTTTCTATCTAGTCTGATTGTTCAGCATTTTAGTTCTGGAAAACTTAAAAAAGCACCACTCAATCTCTGTAGCACAAGAAACAGGAAAAACCTCTCCTCTCTCTCCGATGAACAGCTGCTCTTGCTGATGTTTGCACAGTATGTTTTGAAAGGCAGAAGAAATGCAAGCAATTTTAACCTTACAATTTGATACAGAAATATTAGCCAATGGAGACAAGTACAGAACTGGTCTTGTTAGGAAGAATAAAACTTCAATCACTTTTTAATATGAATTTTCTGCCATGATGCATAGAGTCTAAAGCAAAATCTCAGCTTACTTTCCCTTTTAGATTCAGGGAAAATCATGCCACTGATTGATGACAACAGGAATACGGGCAAAAATGATTACCACATTATAAAGACTTGGCATAAAAAGCCAAATGCTGAAGAGTTCCCTCTAAGCTGTGCATGTGAGCAGATGCTCATTAACACGGGAAGCCCTGCTCAGCAGCAATCAGCAGCAATCTGGAACTGTGCAGGATCTTGCACTGTTGATTGCCCGTTTTGGGATTATAGCAGGTATATTCTGCTCAGAATGTGAACACAGTAGGCGGGAAAATTACAGGGAACATTGCTCCCCATTCCTTCTTTTAAAAATAATAATAATGAAAATTGTACCAGGACAAATCAAAGCATAACCTCAATAAATACCTGACACTTTTCCTCTCTTGTAGAAAAATGTGAAGCATACAATCCCAGCACAAACTGATTTCAGAAATAATTGTAAGAGGGAAGAAAACTGTTACAACAGCAGCTACGATGGCAAAATACCACCTCTCATTGTAAATGTCCCTTGCCTCAAATCGCCCTTTTATGGCAAAAGTGTTTATATTAGTATCATGTAACACAATATGGCAGTACAGACACTCCCTTCCTTTTTCATACAATGGAGACCTTAGTCTGCCTGGTCCCTAGGTAGTAAGAAGATAGTATATTGGGGGGGATGGTGTCAGCTTCTCTATGTACTATAAATGGGGACTTAATCAGAGATTATGTACTTGAAATTGCATACACTTGCACTGGAAGGCACTGTTGTATTGGAAACCTTAACTTCACAATACAACTTTAATATTCTAACAATTCCAGACCAGAGAGGTAAACAATTTACAGCTATGTAGCACCTTTATTCTCTGAAAGGATCATACAATTGCTACCCACCAGAGATATAAAAGAACCTCTTAACACTTTTGGGCAGCTATGAAGAAGTCAGACTAGTGCAACTGTGGGTGAAGTGAGTAGATAGCTCATGAGAACAAGAAACAAGCTATGGAATATTTCATTTCCAAGTAATTGGTTAGAATCCATTTGACATAATAAGCAGGACAGCTTTGTAACTGATCCATCTGCAAGAAATCACAATCCCACCCACCCCCCACACATATACACTTCTATAACAACAATCCGGCTGTTATGGTTCTTGATGCAGAAATACTGAAAGTTGGAAGAGAAAGAAATATGTCACAGGTCTGCCACTCCAGGTTATCTGAAAGTCTGATTTATACAAGCAAGAGAATGTGGTGGTAAAATGCTGAAGTGGTAGAATGGATTGCATCAGGGGTCGTTTTGTAGAAAAAGAGCTAGGGGAACTCATTAGCATAACTCATTAGCATATGCCACACCCCCTGACATCACCGGAAGTGTGTCATAAGGTCACACACCCCGCCCCCAACGGTCCCGGCCGCCGCTGGCCTTGCAGCTCCACTGCCGAGCCCCATGAGGGGCCCGGCGGTGGACCTGCAAGGCCGGCGGGAGTGCAAGGAAGCCCTGCGAAGGCCCTCCCTGGCCCCAGGCAGGCAGGGGTGGGGAGAGGCAGGGAGGAAGCAACTTACCCTCCCTCTTCTCCTGCTTCCTCCTGGATGAATGAGGGCCGGAAGCAGGGCAGCCGGAAGCAGGGAGCGGGGCTTCATCATGTGCCCCGCCCCCTGTACCTCACCCGGGGGAACTGCGATCCCCTGCGATCCCCCCCGAAATGACCTCTGGATTGCATCATGTCAGAGCACAGGCAATATGAATGTTAAAATGACTGCAAATAGAAAATCAGTATAGAAAACAAGAAGGGGTGTAGAAGGTTTTTCCCTCCTCTGCTAGTTTTCTGTCTGTGTCAAGTTTTTTTCCCTCCTGTGAAGGGGCACTGAAAGCTAGGATTCACCACAACTCAGTCTAGCATCACGCCATCTTGGCATTCCAGCACCTTATTCTTCTGTGCAATTTTAGAGATCGAAAAATTTTCTTTGACCTCTGTTGAAGACACAGGATACATACAAAAGACATTGCACATTCCAGAATACAACTAGAAAGCACTTCAACAATTTGCTTAGCCAGCTATGGGTGAGGACACTCTCCATACATGTGATTACCGCGGGTAATTCTAAAAAGTATCTGCCTCACTAACCTGTTAGTGTTCTTTGAGGGGGTGAACAAACATGTGGACAAGGGGGATCCAATAGATATTATTTACCTTGACTTCCAGAAAGCTTTTGATAAAGTTCCTCATCAAAGGCTCCTAAGTAAGCTCAAAAATTATGGGATAGAAGGAGAAGTCCTTTTATGGATCAAAAACTGGCTAGTTCATAGAAAACAGAGAGTGAGTGTAGGTGGGCAATTTTCTCAGTGGAGGGTGGTAAGCAGTGGGGTACCGCAGGGATCAGTACTTGGTCCACTGCTTTTTAACTTGTTCATAAATGATTTGGAGATGGGAGTAAGCAGTGAAGTGGCTAAATTTGCGGATGATACAAAGTTGTTCAGGGTGGTGAAAACCAGTGAGGATTGTGAGGCACTCCAAGGGGATCTGTCAAGGATGGGCGAGTGGGCGTCAACATGGCAAATGGGGTTCAATGTGGCCAAGTGCAAGGTGATGCACATTGGAGCCAAAAATCCTAAATATAAATACACATTGATGGGGTCTGAACTGGCAGAGACTGAGCAAGAGAGAGATCTTGGAGTTGTAGTGGATAACTCACTGAAAATGTCGAGACAGTGTGTGACTGCAATAAAGAAGGCCAATGCTATGCTGGGGATTATTAGGAAGGGTATTGAAAACAGATCAGCCAATGTAATAATGCCCCTATATAAATCAATGGTGAGACCTCATTTGGAATACTGTGTGCAGTTCTGGGCACCACACCTTAAAAAGGATATTATAGCTATGGAAAAAGTGCAGAAAAGGGCAACTCGAATGATAAAAGGGTTGGAACACTTTCCCTATAAGGAAAGGTTAAAGCGCTTAGGGCTCTTTAGCTTGGAGAAGAGACGACTGAGGGGTGACATGATCGAGGTTTATAAGATTATGCATGGGAAAGAGCAGGTAAAGAAAGAGGTACTTTTCTCCCTTTCTCACAATACAAGAACTCGTGGGCACTCCATGACACTGCAGAGCGGTCGGGTTAGAACGGATAAAAGGAAGTACTTCTTCACCCAAAGAGTGATTAACACATGGAATTCACTGCCACAGGAAGTGGTGGGTCTGGGGCAAGTGATGCTCTGTCTTCTTGGTGCTTGGGGGGGGGGGTCAACAGTGGGAGGGCTTCTAATGTCCTGGCCCCACTGGAGGACCTCCTGATGGCACTGGTATTTCTGGCCACTGTGTGACACAGAGAGTTGGACTGGATGGGCCTTTGGCCTGATCCAACATTGGCGTCTCTTATGTTCTTATGTTCTTAAATACAGCATCTTCCATCAAAGTTTGATTTTTCCAAAGTCTCTTAACTCTCTAATACCAAAACTGTACACGTTCTAAGGGACTCTAACTTACCCTTTTCTGTTGTGCATTTAACCATTCCTAGTTTTTGAAATTTCATTAAACCTTAACTGTATATTACATGGAAAATCCATATCTCCATCTTCAAAAGACCACTATTCTTGAGTTCAAGATCCTTGCCAAACAACTATGACTTGCAGCAGCCCATCTCAGCAGTAATCTATGCTTCTCTTTTCCTCTGCTTTTTCTGAGCTAACATTGGCCATACTAGATAGGTGTCTTTTTTTCTACAGTTCCTAACATCTGGGTCAT